TTTTTTTTTTTTTTTTTACTTCCCAATTTGTTCCACACTTCAGAGCTGCTCTTTGTGAGGGGAGAGTGGTCTGGGGCTGTAGCAATGATGAGGAGAAAATGAAAGAGAGGGAGAAAGGGATGGAATAAGAGTGTGTGAAATGGATGAGTTGCTGTTTAGAGCAGCAGCTGGAAATCAGAGAGTACAGACGGAGAGGGACAGACCGTATCGAAATAGCTACTTCGTTATTGTGTATGTTTGTGTGTTTGTGAAAGAGAGTGTGAGAGAGAGAGAGAGAGAGAGGCAAAGATTTATCGTGTATGTGTGTATAAGAGACTGAGAGGGAAAGATTTAAAATGCATCTTCAATCATGTTGTGAGAACATGTCAGCCTAGACATGTGTGCATGGTTGTACGTGACAAATCCTCATGTGCGTCCCAACTGACAGGCGAACTGAGGCCTTAGAGACAGACACGGCTTATGTCTATAAGTGAGCACTTACCTGCTCTTGCAAGTGAACTGCTTTCTGTGTAGGAATAATAATAGCTATAGGAGCTCCGGTTTGATCCTGAGCCTGGGTTACTCTCCGTGCAGAGTTTCACATGTTCTCCCTGTGTCTGCATGGGTTTCTCCAGGTTCTCCAATATCCTCTCGCCTCCCAAAAATATGCCTGAATGACTGTGTGAATGAGTATGTGAAGATGCTCTGCAATGAAATGGTAACTGATATATAGTATTTGTGGTTATCTTAATAGAATTCATGTATATTACATTAAGATCACCCAGAGCAAGCCCAGGAAAATGGCTTTGTGTGCTCTGCTGCTATTGTCCTTCAGGTCTCCATCCTCCCAAACTGTTGCCATTGCTCTCCACAGGCCGATCTGGCTTGACGTGGATTGCTCAACCTCCTTCAGGCAAACACCAAATAGGGCCTTGCACCTGTTAGAACTCATCCATGACCAAAGAAATAGATTCAACCACTGACCACCTCTTCTGCAACAAAATTATGGCCTGGATTAGTGAAGTGAAGTGAAGTGAAGAGATGTGTGGCCAAGTATGGTGACCCATACTTGGAATTTGTGCTCTGCATTTAACCCATCCAAGTGCACACACACAGTAGTGAACACACACACACACACACACACCCGGAGCAGTGGGCAGCCTTTTTTGCCGCGGCGCCCGGGGAGCAGTTGGGGGTTCGGTGCCTTGCTCAAGGGTCTCATCTCGGTCGTGGTATTGAGGGTGGAAGACAGTCCTGGTTATTCACTCCCCCCACCTACAATCCATGCCGGACCTGAGACTCTAACCCACGACCTTCGGGTAAACCTTTGGGTTACAAGTCCGACTCTCTAACCATTAGGCCACGACTGCCCCCAGAATTAACCCTCTCCTGAACAACAGCAGCAGCAGCAGCGGAGGCGGCGGAGGCAGTCCCAAATGCTAGTGTTTATACTAAGCGTACTTATCAGAATGCCTTCTGAGAAGTAATGTTATGAATCAATTTACATACATTTACGAATCACCAATTATCATTACGCTGATCATTACACAATCACCAGCTATGTTTTGCAGTAGCGCGAAGGTGATGGCTCCAGACAGATGAGGGGAGGGGCCATGTGCATGACTCCAAAGATCTGAAATAGAATGTACTACTCGTTGCAACTCCAAACACATAAAATAATAAACCCACAATGTATGAAATAAGGTGTGAGCACCATTGCTAGTCACTGGGGTAGTTCCATTATTGTTACACACATCCTCTGTACCTTAGGTATGAATGGCTCACCTAGAAATGTGAATGTTTTTACATTTAAAACTTATTAAAGGTGTTCAATTACACTGTAAGGACTACTTCATAAGCTTTTCCTACTGAGACATACCTGTACATACCATTGGGTACAGAATTCACACCCTTGAGGGTATTCCGCCAGTGACATGCAATGGTACAGTCTCATACTTTTTTTCTCTTTTTGTGTAGCTGATCAGGAATTTAGTGGTTATTTTATATATTTACATTGATTTATTTGGCAAACGCTTATCCAGAGCAACATTTTGAGCTGAGCAGCTGAGGGTTAAATGTCTTGATTAAGAGCCTTGCAGTGGTTCTCTGGCAGTCTGGGGATTTGAACTCACATCTTGCTCAGAGCTCAGAACCTTAACCACTGAGCCATCACTGCCCATACCTAGGTCATTAAACACCACAAAACAGCATAGATAAACAAATGTTTTACATAAATCAACTGTGACAGAGGGATGCTCAACCACTGTTGCAGATAACACAGTGAACTTTATGTTTACACAGCCCTACATTTGTATACCAACTTGCCAACCTTTGGGGAATTTCATGAAAAAACGGATAAGCTAGTGAGAACACCAACTAGACACGAGTTCTTCATTTGAGACACAGCACTGCTAAAGCAAGGCTAAAGCCATAGAAAGGGAACAAGAGAGAAAGAAGTACTCAAAGGATGAAGGAAAATAGGCATTTAAGTGTGAGAAGAGATCGCTGATCATTGCTAAGTTCCTATGACAGCTTCCTTTTCTTTAAACATCTTTTTATTTGGCTGGTCAAGCCAATGCCATTCTAGGGTTTCAATGCGCTTGCTCTCTTGGCACTTGGCTGTCTGGTATTGTTGCAAAACAAGAAACTAAACCGGCCAAGCACCTTTCATCCCCACACATTCAACCACCTACGTGCTTCGAAATGTCATGCATTCAGATGGGAGGCTTCTCAAAGTGCAGATACAATGGCACACAACTAGGCACACACTTGCACTTGCATGCTGACGCACACATGCACACGAGTACAGAGTAACCTTTAATACTGCTTTTCTGTCTATCCCTCCCTAGAATTGAGAGTCTAAACGGATGAAATAGGAGATTGAAGGTGAAGTTGGATGTCCCACACGGCGACCTAGGTGTTGCTCGAGGCTCCTTACACTGAACTCCTGTGTCCTGACTTCCCAACCTTATAAATCAATCTGCCCTTCGAACAGTCTGATGAAATTATTTGACTCTGGAGCAAGACGAACATGACGACACCTTGCTGCAAGTCTGCCCTGCTTGCCATCAGCGGGGTGACACTGATATAATCACATGCAGAAATGCTCATGGAGATCTTGCTCACATGATGGTTTGGGATCAGGAATAGGCTGGGTTTCTTATTACATGCTAAAGAACATGTGGATGAAGTTAAGGCAAAGTGCTTTCATTTGTTTCTTTTTTCCAGTCACAGACTCACTCACTCACTCACACACTCACTCGCTCACACACACTCAGTCACACACACAGACAGAGCCATCTTTTGGTGCATGTGGAGATCATTTTCAGTTTTTGGTTTTCAAAGGCACCTGGGGAGATACCATGATGTGGCAGATTTCAGCAGGAAATCTTATAGAAAGTGAGAGAGACACACACAGAGAGAGAGAAAGAGAGAGTAGTGTGTCTGTGTGGTTGCTAAGGAACTGCCTGAATGAGCCCAAATTGTACTGTCTGGTTTCCATCAAAGTGCTAGCGCAGGAGCAAGGTAGGAGCTCAAACCGTTCTCCTTCTCTTGCTTTCATCGGCAATACAGCAAAAACTCAACCCAGTACGATGCACAAAAGCTAACTGATCACTTCTAGATGCTATCATTCTGAAGGAACAGCACTGACAATTGTCTGCTTGATGGAGTAAGATAGCTTTGTTCAATCTATTATCCATGTAGAGTTGTGCAATGACAAGGTTAAGAGGAAAAAAAAACAAGGTCAGATTTGGGTTTCAGGTTGTGTTTGAGATTTTTTCAGTTTTATACAAATTAATTATGACATATTTATGTAAGAAAATCAATTAATCCTTACACCAGTCCTATTCCACGGGTTGTTTTGTTCCTCAATATTTATTTTTGAATATATTTAGAATCAGATAAAGCCTATATGAACATATCAAAAATGATATATACTTGAATATACCTAGGATTTCCACTAGTTTATAAAGCCTATACCCCAGCATTATAATAATTTCAAGCTTGTCTTGTTCTATTGGCAAATAATTTTTCTATACAGTGTGCATACATTAAACAGTATCCCATATTAAAAATTTGACTACCATATTTACCAGAATTTAAAAAACTAGACAGTGCCCTTCTATAAATAATGATGCCAGCGAGGACCACATGACCACAAGAGACAAATCTGGAGTGCCTTTTTGTTAACTAGTGTGAACACAGGATAAGAAGCAC